TGTCGGTTCCATTATACACAAAGCTGCAGACTTCAGGAAGTACTTAGACTACCAATTCATCACAGCGCAAAAACATTTTAGGTATACTTCGAAGGTGGTGTTTGGTAGGGTCTCGAAAAGCTGGTGCCATAAGGCAGGATTTATTAGAGGTTAAGTATCCCCCTGCTGCTTTCGCAGTTTATTTCAGCAGCCCCTGGAAGACATTTGCCAAAGAAAAGAGGAGAGGGGCTAGAAGTTCAAGCAAACCCACATCTAGTGTAGCTCTTGTCGTCGAAGAGCTTCGGGAGCATGATTTCCAGTAGTTTCCAAATTAGCTCCAACCCTTGATTTACTGTCTGTTTTAATGTTTTGAGAAAATAAATATAGCGGGGGAGATTTCACCACACGCATAGAGCTGATCTGAAGCACACAGATCCTAAATAAACAACAACTCTGTTGCATAAATCAAACCCGCGGCGGTGGACATAATATGAACCCTATAACGCAAAGGAATGAGGGAAATATTAGCATACGTTTGAAGCCATGTCCACAGAAGCAACTTAAGTCCTTCTCTGCAATTTTCCAATCTTTGTGGCTTGATTTCCCACCACAGCAATAAAACGCTCTTAGAAAGCTTCAAAATGTTAAATCAGAACAATTTAGCAACATTACAGTGCGTGCAACCGGGGCTTGACATTAACATCCGACGACCCACCAAATGCGGGTTGAATATTATAAACAATATACATTTTTCAATTGTAGTCTTTTAAAAGGCACCTGAAGTAATAAACTAGGCTTAAAGCCACAATATGTAATTTTTCTGCATTAAAAATAGCAAAAATAACTGTATCTATGTTATATATTTCTGTTAGATATGTACTTACATTATCCCGACAGTTTCCACCAAATTTCAAATACGGAGAAATTTATAGTTTAATTCGAAGACACGGGACGTTTCTTTATTTCCGTTTCGTCGCCCGTCTATGGCGTCATATAACCTTTGACTCCTCTATTTTCTCTAACTTCCTTGCGGAACCCGGCGAAACCGCCAAACACAAAGGGGAACACTGGACTACCCTCAATAAAGCAAAGAAAATGACGAAATAAAAAAAGTAGTACGTATTTTTATGTGTGTAAATCACGTGCCCGCTCACGAGCGCTCACTCTTAACAGACACACTGTCCCCGCCGGTGCTGCTCGCGCATAAAGCGCTCCCCGTTTACAGTAACCGGGTCGTCTCATTTAAAACAGCCAACTGTTGCGGTTAGCGATCCGCGCACATTGAATACTCATTATGAGTCAGGCTGCGAATGTACGTGCCCGCTTCAGCTCTCTCATGCTTACTAAATAAACGCCTCACCTCCGGCGCCGCGCACTCACTACATTCTCTTTAGCACATAGTGGATGAATAACGCAAACCCAGTCAAGTTTGACTGCAGTATCTTGTGTGCTTTATAATCCGGTGCGCTCTATATATGAAAAATGTTCTAAAATAGGTCATTCATTGAAGTAGCGTAATATTAATATTTATATTCGTCTGTATAATAGTTATGGACCACGATTACGCTTTGCCTGCACGTTCTGCTGCTACAGCCAGCTCATTAGCTAAAGCTCAAACGTACCTGAAAAATATGACGCGAGAAGTGTTTAGGACAGGAGAAGCATGACACAGGTAAACATTGGGGTTGCATTTAAAGCTTCTTGACAAGCTAAATCTACAGAGAGATGCCGTATGTCCGTATATTTTGTGAAACGATGATGTCATGTCATGAGCTGAGCTGGTTGTCATTGACAGCGACAGCAACTCCCGTGAGCCCACGCTCTTTCCCGACGTCATCAAAGTACGTCTTTTGTTATTATTTTAAACGAGTGACCCCTGGTGGCCAAAAATCGCATACTGTACGTTTAAGTGCTCTGTAGTGTTGTCAAAAATATAGATTTTTCGATACGGAAATATCTAAAACGCTTCCAATTTTCCGCAGAATAGATACACGATGCATCTTATGTCTCCGACAGAGAGTTACACACAAACCCGCCTCTCCTCACTCACTGGTTTCATTTGCTCCGGATGAATATTGTTGGTGGTACTGGGTTTGAATCTTGGCGTGGCAGTGCGCATAATTTTACTCACTCCTGTAGATGTTTTGCTCACACCCAAAGTGTTGCACATAAAGCTGCCTCAGTACTAACGTTGAGTTATGTTTCGCTGCTTATAGAGAGCCCTCCCCTTCCGGTCGACCACCAAAAATATTGTATGGTAGTCAATGGCGAGAGACAACAAATATTTTGATCTCGTTTGAACTGTGCCCTGAATTACACATATGATGTTTGTCAATTTAAAAGATGCATTTTGAAGTAAAGAAAGTCGCCGTTTGCTGTAAAAACGTTGAGGTATAAGACTGTGAATATACATAATTACAAAGACTACAACCCCCAAAGGCGCACATTTTCTCTCAATGAATGAAGCTAACTTTACTGAGGCTAATGTCCGTCATTGTTTCTACAGTCTTACGTTATAATCGTAACGTTACGCCGTCATGCCTGAGTGTTTTGTACCAGACTGAACACACACGAGCAGAGGATCTTGCTCTGTTTCGCTTCCCGGGAGATGTAGTTCATTGAGCGATTTTCACGTAAAACTAAAGGTTACTCTTCTGTTTTATGACAAATGGCGACGTTTTTGACTTTCAGAATTATCATTTAATTTGACAAACATCATATGTGTAATTCAGGGCACAGTTCAGATGGAATAAAAAGATAAGTTGTCTCTCGCCATTGACTACCACACATATTTTCGCATGGGTTCCCTCGGTCGAAAAGCAATGCGTTTTCCCCATAGACTTTTGGAAAATCACAAAAAATAAGATCTGTGTTTAACAAAGGGTTGTGACCCTTACACGTTTTGTCTAGCAAGATAATCTTTATAAGTTAATCCAAAATGTATACATTTTGAAGCCTATATAAAGATTTTAAAAAACACAATCAGACACAAAGTTTAAAAAAAACCACAAGCAGGTTATAACTGTGTGTTCTGTATCATAGATCAAAACGTGAAAATATTTAGAGGCTTTGTTCACCAGAGACCTTATTTCAGGCGATTTAGCAAAAACCCATTCAAAAATCCCATAGGCTTTAGAGCGAGGGAACCGTAATGCTAAAATGCTAACTCACTTCCGCGTTTTGGCCTACAGAGTGACGTCGTAACTTCGACACTCTATTGCACTTAAACAGTCAAATAAACACAAAATAATGTCAAAATGCCGGTCTTGGTGAGTATTCACATAAACACAGACAGTCAGATATGTTTTAAGTGAAGGTCAACAGTTGAGAAAGAAAACGCATGTGTAACAGTATAATGGATCCGTTCATCTGGTCTTAAAGAGACAGCAGCCTAATAAACCTGCTGCCAAATGTAAAAATTCTATATAACATGGCATCAATGTCAAAATTGTGGCCAATGAAAATGTTGAATGGCTATAACTTTGGAAAAGCACCAGCCACAGTGACTGGTGAAAAGTTAATGTCAAACACTGCATGCGAAGGTATATTTTTGTGACGTGCATGATTAAACATCCATTTATCTTTGTGAAAACAACATGTACGCACTATTTGTGCAAAAAGCACTGCATGTAATAGGGGGAAAATGGTTGGCTGGAACAAAGAAGATCTAACAACTGTTCTTAATAAAGTGAAAATGCTCACATGCGATCTAAATGGAGTGACAGTGACTTTCTCCAGCACTTACCACGTCACTCATAGCAAACTCAGATTAAACACTTCAGGCAAGGAGAGGAAACCAGCAAATATTTTAATTAATTCCTTCCTAGGCTTTCATCAACCGCTACTCCCACATTCCTCCTTTCAGACCACCAGACGCTTTCTTTCATATTCTCTCTCTCTCTCTCTCGTTGTGAGTTACAGGGGTTGAAATCACTTTCATACATGACCACCAATACACGAGGTGATTGTAGAAATCACAAGACCATAAAAAACAGTTTAACACAACTGGTATTATCTGAATCGGTAGGTTCTCATGTTGGACATCTGCATGTTTGAGAATCAAGAAATACCATGCCTGACCAGACGGGGAGGGTCCATGCAGGACCCACAAAGACAGCACAATATGGGAGAGTGTGTAGGACTACATTAAGCATTACCTGTATACCATTTTATGGAAATGTTTCAAATGAACGAGGGTGGGTGCGACAATGGACTAGGGAATAAAAATATGAATATATGGATTTGGGTCTCATTTTTATTAAGATGCGACAAAAGAAAAAAAAAACATTTTATTCAGTTTTCTCTGAGCAAAACATTCATTTAAAAACGAACTTAGTGTAAATGATACATACACTGTCAGAGATGAGCAAACCCTTAAATGTCCACAAGGATACAATATACAAATCCACTAACCAAATCTAATCAAATTTAGTTATTATTCTACACTCCTAAAAGTAAAGGTTCCAAAGGTGTTTTTGCAGCGATGCCATAGAAGAACCATATTACCCAAAATAACCTTTCAGTGAACAGTTTTTCAAATAACCTTGTTTTTCTTACTGAGAGGAACATTTTTAACAATTTAAAAATAAATCTTTTCCCACAATAAAGAACCTTTTGTACAATGGAAATGGTTCCATGGATGTTAAAGGTTCTAAATGGAACCATAAATGCCAATAACCAACCTTTATTTTTAAGAGTGTGGCGGATTTATCTGGAAACTTTTTAGAAGAAGTCGCGCACTCTATTACTGCGTGCGTGTTGTCAATGATATCAGTAAAAAGACAAACAAACAAATCCACAATTGTTCGAATAAAACAGGCATGAGCGCAAAATATTTATCGCCAAAAATACTTATTTACGCATCCCTGATATCTAGCGCTTTTTGTCCCTGCGGCGCTCCAGTAGACCATCAGACAATCTCTGCATGCATCAAGGTGCATTCAGTCTGGATCACACACACACACCACTCCTGCCTTCCTATTCAGCAGAATCCACAAATTCTAATAAACCGCTTCACATACCTCTTTTTGGTTTCGGGAAACTTTCGTGAAGATGAAACACGACTTTTTCCACAAAATGCTGAATGTTGCTGTGCTCTGGTCCGCGGACAAACACCATCCAGTCGTGCGTAAAACCTTCCACGGTGGGTTTCTTTCGGACCTGGGCACGATGACCGAGTTCCAGCTTCACCTGAACGGCACCCTAAAACACCCAAATGTTCACTTTATAATGATGTCGCCAATTATTAAGTATAAACCAGGAACAGTCTGAGCGCGTGCGTGTTAGAACCACTCAATAGCCGCATAAAGGTAAAGCAAAATAATGGTCGAATCACAAGTTTCTGATATGTTGAGTTAGTTAACCTTAACATACCAAAAGAAATGATACAAACACAGCACTGAATATTTGTAACTGAATGCCCTCCTTTTGTTTGAAATCTTTCAAGCGCATCACTTTTGCAGACATGCACTAATACACTGGAAACGCACGACTCCGATAGTTCTTCTGTACTTCAGTATTCCGATGGAAATATGGCTGGAAAAGCCTCATACGCGTCTAATCGCCTTTCCAAAGCGGACGAAAACGAGCAGAGGCACTGGAGGTCCAAAACACCGCACCGACATAACAGGTAAAGCCCTACTCACCGAACTGGCCATTGCTGAGGCCACGGGGTAATGCTATTTCATGGAGAATTTGGTTTAAATAAGGACACCGAGGACTGTAGACGCCCGATGGCGGACATGGTCTTTTAATTGAGCTCTCTGAGTTTTCAAAGGCTGAGGAGTAAAGTGAGACGCATGCGCGTGAGTGTCAGCGCGTGTGCTCTCGAGTCGCAGTCAGTGCGGTGCGCGAGACGAGCCAATGGCAGCGCGAGCGACTGAAGTGCCACTTTTAACCCGTGTAAAACCACGTTTTCACTGCTCAACAACAGTTATTTATTACTTACTCCGTATTAACCACGTTACATGTATATATTTTACATATAGTGTCTGTAGGTTATACTCGTATATTGTGCTTTTCTACTGTTTAACTATGTATGTTGCTGTAATACCCATTTGTTTTTCAATAAAATGTGAGTGATTCACTAACTTATATATATAAAATAATATAATTTAATTTGGCCTATTGGTTTACACTGTTCTTGTTTCACACTGAGTGCGTTTTTAAAAAAGAAGTAAAAATACTTCTTAAACACCTTTTAATTTATTAACTGTTATTTTACAATATTCAGTCAAAATTATATTATAAATTAAAAGACATGTAGTTTTACTGTGAAGCCAATGGTTAAAAGGGTTTTGTAAAATAAATTGCTAAAATGTAGGGTGAAAATGTATGTTTTTTATTTTATTTTATAAATTAATAATCAGCAATATCATATGGTATGATCAACAACAGTATAGTATAATATAATTATATAGTATAATATAATTAGTGCTTAATCAGTGATTGATTGTGATTAATCACATTCATAAAGTTTTTGTAACACACATTCATAACACACACACACACACACACACACACACACACACACACACACACACACACACACACACACACACACACACACACACACACACACACACACACACACACACACACGTAGCTAATAACTTAGATGCATAGATTAATCGTGATTAATCAATTTGACAGCACTAAATAATGTGTAAATTATACAGCCACACTTAGTCTATTCTACTTAACTTGTCTCAATCTCTGTAAACAACATTTTCTTTATTATTTATTGGTAAAATAAATAGGCTATAGAGCAAAAGTTCACAATTAAACACCTGTCTGTAAGATATGACACAGCCTACAGGTCATGTATAGCCTATATTTTAAAATAAATATTGACACAAAATGTTCTGACATTTTTTTTTTTTTTTTTTTTTTTTTTTAGAAAGACGTCAATGAATGTAAGAAAAGTATGAGAATTGTACTTTAAATCCGCGAGTTCCATAATATACCCAAGAGAAAAGCCATGCATTTGCAGTGACATTAACGTAACGCCTTTATGAAGTTTGGTCCTCCGCGCGCACTGTACAAGCATGTTGGCGTTTGGAGGGTTTCGCGAAAAAGTTAGCAAAGTGCATCTAAACCTCACTGGAATATAGCGTTTCTCTGGGTAAGAACATCACGTGTATCACATCAGCTTGCTTGTTTATGTGATGCCAACATTGTTAATACACTTACGGAAAAATGTAGTGAAACTGACAGCTGCTCGGTACTAGGTAGCGGGCTTTCCTGTATTACAGCAATACAAACACAAACAGGAACGTTTCTTCTTCCATTGCTAAATACGTATTTGGAATTCAATTACATCATTTCATCACTCAAATTTACAACTAAATAAATATCCGCAGTGGGCTAACCTTACACAAAGGACTGTGGCGATGGTACTATGGTATCAGATGGTAATACAATGATTATTGAATGATTGCTTTATTCATGTAAATTGATGTTTACATGGCGCTCAAATGTCATTCGAAAAACACCCTTAGTACGTGGTATTACTGTGATACATGTCCATTGTTGTAGTACCATGGTATCATTTGAAAACGGACATATTGTAGTCTAGCCAGTGACTTAAACACAGCATCACTTACACAATGATGCATTATTGTGGACACACAAGCAGTGCAGAGCAAGCAGTCCCGAGCTGAAGCCTTTGTGCATTTGGACAAGTAGCCAAAGGCTGGAAATCCCTGGAATATTTGTAATTATTTGCTTTGCTGTCAAAAGCTTGCATGTTATATTTTGATCAGATAAAAACAACCAACTAGTTTGCCAACAACAAATTATATCCAAACCTCTACCTACAAAAAAGACGACCATTTTAAAATACTAGTCAAACATGACTAAAAATAGTTTTGCTATTTTTTTGTGGCATTTTCTCGATGCATTGTTTATCATCTGAATCCAAATAACTGTAGTAAGAAGCTTAAACTAATGTGGAGATTACATTTTTTACAACAACATAACAATCCACTTTTATTGTAATAAAATAGCACTTGATCTTTATGAAGTACTAGTTTGGACATAAACAGACTGAATTTCCAACCTTACCTGGTTTGCCCGAGCCACTCTTTGCTGTCAGTAGAGCTTCTGTACTGTCACTCTTTATGGAAACGCAGCAGGTATTTCATCATGCACGCGCAGTGCTTGTCAGATAACAGTCCCACGAGGGGAGGGGCAGCATTTTAGGGCTTGCATTGTCTCTTTCGCCCATGTGCTGTGGCATAACCCTGAATCTGCAGTGGCCATCAGCCAGTGTCAGTCAAATGAACGGCTGGTAATCCCATTACCCTACGCCGGGAGTCCATATGAGACAACACATGAGACGCCAAAGTCGGCGGTCCGCAACTGGACGGACATTGAAGCTTTGGCAGAAGTCACTTGTGAATAATGCATCCCATTGATGTGGTCGCCAGTGCCATCTGTCAGATGGTTGTGTCTTCTGTGTGTAGATGCAGGCAGACTATATGTCTCAGGCCTTTATTTAATTTCACCTTAGATTACGTTAGTTTGAAGTGGTGTTGGGTTATTCAAATTTCAGTCTAATAGTATTGCCCTGAAGGTTGTTTTTTGTCCCGTCGCACCTGTTTGGTGTGTTTGATCTCTTGACACATGTGATCCGAGTGAGGATGAAGATACACAGCTGTGCTCTGTTTTAACAGATGATGTCAGTTTGCATGCTAATTTCTTCATTTCAGGAAATGAGGGTTGATTCTGAATATCCCATGACTTCATTTCTCATGATGACTCGATTTGCAGTTCAAGACGTTTAAGAAATTCCGTTCCTTCCCCATTTTGACTTTTAAAGGAGTAGTTCACTTTTGTTGATAGTTTACTCACGCTCATGTCATCCAAGATGTCCACGTCTTTCTTTCTTCAGTCGAAAACAAATTAAGGTTTTTGATGAAAACATTCCAGCATTTTCTCCATATAATGGACTTCAATGGGAACCAAACGGTTCAAGGTTAAAATGAGAGTTTCAGTGCAAACTGCAATCTGTTCAAAGGGCTTTAAACGATTCCAGACGATGAATGAGGGTCTTATCTATCGAAACTATCAGTCATTTCAAAAATATATAAAAAAGTTTAAGTTTTATAAGCTCAAATGCTTGCCTTGCTCTGTTCTGTGACTGCTGTTCGAACTCGTTCATCAAAATGAACAAATCTTTTTCCAATCCAAGCCAATTCGTTCATTTCGTTCGTTGAATGAACCAAATGACTCGGAAAAAGATTTGTTCATTTTGATGAACAAGTTCGTACTTAACAACTAACGTCATCGGCCATTTTTACTTCTCAACACCTCCTGTCCATCCACCTGCCATCTAGAGACAATCGTTTGTTCCAATATCCAATCAAACGCCATTAGATGAAATCAAGAACTATATGTTTTTGGTCATTAAATGTCCCATTTTACTCAAAAAATATGTCAATTTTGCAAGTATAATTGGCTGTGAATGGCTTTTTATGGTGACTAAATTACTTTTTCCATATGATGTTTGCTTTTAGTATGGGGCGTCATTCATGATTTCTGGAGATGACTGAAACTTTGAAGACAAGGTTTGAGTTCCCCAGCTCCCTCATTCAAGCTCAGGTAAAGCACTCAGAAAAGACAGATGATTTAAGTGTTTAGAGGTAAAACAAGGTTCCCGTTCTACAGTAATTTCAATGAAATTGTAATCTTTCCCGCCAAACGTGTCTGGCTTGTAGAAATCCATTCCTGTGAATGTTTACTTTCGATGAAATCTAGTTTGCTGAAGGCATGTGAAGAACCAAATTTGTTGCATTTTGGCTTTTTTATTGTAGGCTGTGAGGACGCTGGTCACTGCAGTGTTGAAAGAGAAAGGCCAAAATGAAAGGATCTGTCAGACTACCACTAAAGTAAGTCGTCACAATCATTCTTGCATTGGGGGTCATATCACATCACACTTAGGACACATTTAAGACTTCTATGTCAATGCCCACTTTACACATAATGAGAAAGAGTGCTTTGTCCAGTCATTCAATTACAGGGATTTGTTTGTGTATGGATTGTTCACCCAAAAATAAAACTTCTGTCATCATTTACTCATCCTCATGTTGTAGTTTCTTTCTTCTGTTGAACACAAAACAAGATATTTTAAAGAATGTTGGTAACCAAACAGTTGACGTAGCGTTTTTTCCTACTATGGAAGTCAATGGGGTCCATCTGTTTGATTACCAACATTCTTTAAAATATCTTCTTTTCTGTTCAACGGAAGAAACAAACATGAGGGTAAGTAAATGAACTATCCCTTTAAGGAGAGCGCTTTCAGACAGACTGCCAAAGAGACATTTTTTTATTTAACAATGAAGACAATTTGTAAGGTAATAGTGCATTTATTGAGCAAAAGGCTCTTTTAGTTATAGTTTTCTAGCTTACTAATGAGTTATATGGATATAAAATTCCCTTCCTGAGGCAAATGTAAAATTACGTGACAGTGTTTACAAGTTTCCAGGGTTGAAACTTATTTTTTTGAGACATGATACATTTCAGTTTCTTTAAACATACTTTCTGATTCAATCGTTGTTAGGTTGTGCTATGTGTAAAGAGAAAGAGATGATGGTTTCATGCAGCTTGAACTGAGGCCGCAACAGCGATCTGACATTTATTGTTTGAATTTCATTATAAAATTGACAAAATGTCAGTGCATCGCTAATTTATTCATGACATTGAAGCCCAGAAGCTGAATGCTAAATAGCTGTGGTTGACATGTAAAGGTGGGCTGTGATGCGTTGGATCTTGGATATCTGAAATACAAGGACTTTTCTGCTGTAGTTTTTTTGCTGATTTGTTACATTAAAATAAAATCTCAGTGAGTACGGAAAAAGTTTTGAGTTTGGAAAATTATATTGGTCAGTGATTGGTATCGGCCGGTATTACAGCTGATGATCAGGGCAGATTATTTCCTGTCAATCAAAAGGGGGCGAAAAATGTGTCGGTCTGCAACTCAAACTGTGTGAAGAAAATGTCTCTTGAAAATCTCGCCTTTCATCCAATAATCACAAAGGGCTTTGTTACTTCTGAAAAGAAACAACGACTCAGCTTTCAAATGCAGTCCTTCTTATCACAAAACTCAATTTTGACGCTTTTAAATTTGACAGATCGTTGTAGCGCCTTACTGTAACCAGCAGCGCGAGTCTGTTCTTCCACTTAAAGGAGTAGTTCACTTTAAAAAAAACTTTTGCTGATAATTTACTCATGACTTTCTTTCTTCAGTTGAAAAGAAATTAAGGTTTTTAATGAAAACATTCCAGGATTTTTCTCCATATAATGGACTTCAATGGGAATCAACCACCTGCAAACTGTTCAAAGGGCTTTAAACGATTCCAGATGATGATTAAGGGTCTTATCAAGTGAAACGATCGCTCATGTAAAAAGATATAACAAAGTTTAAGTTTTATAAGCTCAAATGGTCGCCTTGCTCTGTTCTGTGGTACGCATTCGTGACTCTCCTGTTCGAACTCGTTCATTAAAATGAACAAATCTTTTCCAGAGTCAACTCTTTCATTTTGTTCGTTGAATGAACCAAATGACATGAAAAAAGATTTGTTCATTTTGATGAGTTCGAACAGGAGAGTCACGAACGGGCATCACAGAACAGAGCAAGAAAACTTAAACTTGTTAATTATTTTTCAAATGAGCAATCGATTCGCTTGATAAGACCCTTATTCATTGTTTAAAATCGTTTAAAGCCCTTTGAACAGTTTGCACTGGAATTGTCTTTTGGACCTTGAACCGTTTGGTTCCCATTGAAGTCCATTATATGGAGAAAATCCTGGAATGTTTTCATCAAAAACCTTAATTTCTTTTCGACTGAAGAAAGAAAGACGTGGACATCTTGGATGACATGGGGGTGAGTAAATTATCAGCAAAAGTTTTTTTTTAAAGTGAACTACTCCTTTAATATAAGTTAATATAATAATATAAGTTATAGCATGAAAAAAATATGCATGAACATCAGAAGGTATGTGGAAAGATACAGAACAACTTACCGAAATGAATAATGTCTGCAATCTCTCAATCAGTGTTTCAACCAGAAAATATCAGAAAATAAATAGTTTTGGCTCTGTTGTTAATTTTAATCGCCAATATTATAGTTACGCACCAAATGAGAGGTTTCCCTGTAGTAGCATGTTTGTTTCAGCAATCGGTATCGCCACATATCGTTCTGAATAATGGGTATCAGCAGAGAAATATATTAATGGTGCATCTCTATTACATAGCAAACATGCCACAAAATTTGTCTCTATTTAAAGGAAATATGTGCCTTTTAGTATTTCCAGACAGTTAATGATACACTTTTACTACATCACTAGCATTGTCTGTTATATTTTGTGCTGGTGTGTAATGGTTTGCATGTTGAGCTTGTGTTGTTTATCACCAGGGGCCAGCGCTGGAGTCTCTGTGGGAGCAGTGCAGCAGTGATAGTACTGTCGTCCGCTCGGCCTGCTGTGACGCTTTAGTGCTTCTCGTGGAACAGGGACATGCAGATCTGCCGTATGTGCTCAACACCACCCTTAACCTCCTGCCCTCGGCACGGTATGCTTCTGTTCACTGCTGTGAGACTTTCACATGGCTCTCACCGGCTAATTCAGATTATCATCCACAATTTAAAAATCTCTGACTCGATGCAATTTCTTTGGCCCTGTTTCCTGGCATTGAGAAGTGTTTTCGTCAATCCGATCACAAGTGGACGGCGCTAAATACAGGTGTAAACGGGTCTAAAACGTTTTGAGCTTGTCCACTTTCGACCACTTCCAGAGGTAGTCGAAAACGCATTTGCTTTCGTGGTGTAAATGCTCATGTGATCGTAGAGTCGACTCTGAGTCTATGAAATTAATTGTTTTTGAAACGAGTCATTAGCTGTAACATCGTGACATAGACATATACTGGCCGCGCCCAGTTACTGCGCGCGCAGACGGAAGTGTAAACTTGAAGTCTACACATTCAAATACTTCATCATAGCATCATGTCGAGAAGACGCTGTGTTCTACAATGCAAAGATAGTTCAGCCACTTTGTTTTCATTTACCGGGGACGAGCATGTGAAGAATCGGTGGTTAGAGTTCATATTTGGAACGATACCACAACAGTATAGCCCGATTGTGTTCTCATCATTTTAATTACGAATCGTTCAAAAATATAAATGAATTCAAATGTGGATTCGCAAGCGGTTGTTCCAGTAACTTACTTACCCAGTGTATATGGATCAGCTTCCTCCTTCGAATCGCAACCTGTAAGTATTATTAATAATTGTTGCTTTTATGGGTTTTGAACGGTTTTGTAGCGTCGGGGCGCGAGGAAGGAGCAATTACTATGTGTGTGTGCGCGCGCGTGTGTGTGTGTGTAAGTTACGCTCAGTGCAGCTTCTAGGTCTCCAATGTCAATTTTTTTTAAATATGTGAAATGTTTGTCGCTGTTATTGGAGTTGTCAAAGAATAGAGCGTCTTGTAGTACTGCGGTGCTTTATTAATATGTTTATGCGTTATGCTAACAAACAACTGACTGGGTCTGTCATCTGACCAATCACCGCCGATTAGCGTCACGCAAAGGAGTGGTTTGGAAAAATGAGTCGTTGTAGGAATCA